ACAAGACAACAGAAATGCTTTTATGGTTGCAAAGACATTGTTAGTGCAAGGTTAGAAGGACTCGTTCTCCATGAATTATGCAGTTGCCTGAAGAACCTGTCTTTTCTGTCTTTTGAACAAGCTTCGTCTATAGGAAGTCTCTTCTGGAAGACTGCTTAGAATGTGCAATGGATGTCCTATTACTCATTTAACAAATATTAATAATTTAATGGTATAATATCACAGGACATTTTTGTTGTTTTTGCTGTGTATTGAAGTGAAGGAAGTACCCATATCTCCCGGTTCTGTGGGATGCCCAGAATGGTGAAGAACTAACCTAGGTGGATGGTACATGAGGACCGCCTTTAGCTCCCTTTCCCCTGGATTCTTCAGCTCAGATTGTCTTCTGCCTTCAACAGCTCTGCAGGCCTTCCCAGATGCTCCCCCCACCCTCCGGCTTTGAAATGCCCTCCTCCCTGGCTCACACCAAGTCCCTTTCTCTAAGCAGGTCAGGCCAGGTGCCCAAAGTCCAGGGCCATCCATGATCAGTAGCAAAGCTTTCCTGCTGATGCAACAGCCTGGCTGGGGCGGGGGGGGGGGAGGGAACGGGGTGGGCAGCCTGATCCTCCCTCAGTCTTGTCTTGGCTGAGGGCTTCCAAGCTCTCTTCCCAAGCTTAGCAAGGGTGCATGGTTTGGGGGGTTGATGCATAGATAGTTCATCTCTGGCTACGTAGGAAATACAAACCAGAAACGTATTCTCTCCTCAAAGCATGTTCAAGAAGATGGTAAATGGTAAAGCCTTTTAATTATTAATGGTTGTGTTGTGCATGGATGCTACTGTGGGCATCTTTCTCCTCCTCCTCCGCCTAGTGCCGAATCCTGCAGAGGTTGGCAGCTGTCAATGCTCTTGGTTCTTTTGAAGATGCTGTCTGAAACAAGGACATTGTGTTTTTGCCAGCGTACATATATTTTTCAGCCAAGACATGTATCTTCTGGCATTGTTGCCCTTGAAACTTCCCTTGTGTAATTAATTGAAGTAGTTAATATTTTTCTCGTTACTTTCAACATATCCTAATTTTTCCAGTTTCCTTTTCTTGATGTATTCACAATGTCCTATTCTTTGCCTGTTTCTTGAAGGGCCATGTCATTTTCTGCATATTCAGCCCATGATATTTTAAGTCATCCTCTGTAAATCTGCATTTCAAAGTCTTCTAGTCTCCTGATTGTCACTGGGGTCTTTGTCCACTCTTCTGCTTCTTGCAAAGATCTGGCAAGACGTAACAGCATACAATCTGCCGACAAAGTCCCAGTGAAACTTGACAGCAAACAGGTTTCTTTATATTTCGAAAAACTACTCTTGTCTGCTCAACCCTGCTCCTTACTTCCATGCTATGTGTAGAGGTGTATGGAGAAAGTGTGAGGAAGGAATGCAGGAATTGTTAAGCAAATAAAAACTCAGTCCTGGAAAAGAAGGAGGAGTGAGAAAGAACTTAGGATAATTCTGCCTTGATTCTGTTGTGTATAAGAGGGGGCAGGCTCTCAAGACCCTCTAAAAAGTGAAGTTCCAGTTCCAGTTCCAGTCTGTCCCCAGACTTGGTCTACCTCGAAGGGTTGATGCTACAGTCCCATCTGTCATTAAAAATACAGCCCAGGTTATACTGTCACACCCTCTGTGCTTGTTTTCCTTATAGCATTATATTCAATTCAGGGTTTTTTTTTTTTTTTTTTTACTGGTAGTCATTGCTTTTGTTCTCTTCTGTTTTTTGTTTTAATTTGTTAAAAAAATGGAGCAGGGAGCCAGCATATTGGAAACCAAGCTCCAGCCTCTAGCACCATATTTATTGGCAGGAGGGTCCTCAGAAAGGGCACCCTGGGGGAGGAGGCGGTCCACCTTCGTGCTCATGTTGTGGCAACAGTTTTACTAATGTACCAATTAAATGCTCTCAAAATTCCAGAGATGCCTGTCTGACCCAAAAATCCCAGGTAGACCAGGGGCTGACTCCCACCAGGGCCACCCAGCTGTCCCCAAAATTAAGTTCCCAAGTAGCGAAATATGAGGGCAAGATTCCCACCAGCTTTTCCTCCCCAGCGACGGATCCTCAAGGCAGCCAACAACGCCATCCCGAGAAAGCTGGGCAGAGGATCCCTTGATTTGTCATGTGCCCAGTTAAAATTGTACCACTTGGTGGCCACTGAGGCATCCTTTGGTTCTCAGGGGTACCCTTCAAATATTGGAGGGCATGTGAAATGCTTCCTTCTATGTGTCCTACATCTCCCCTGTCCTATGTCAGATTTTGTCTGTAGGTTTCCTCCTGGGAGAAGCAACTAATTGGAAGAACTTGAGCGGAGGGTTGAGGAAGCGGGGCGGGCAATGTAGTTGAGGGCTCGGGCTAGCAAATGCCGGCAGACAGAGGGCCGAGTAGCGGGTCCCAGGAGAAGGACGGGCACCTCCTCTGCAGGTGGCCCTAGAAGTCAGGCTTTTTCCAGCCACTGGCAACTCAAAGTTCTCATGACCCGAGATGTTCCTCATCTTCTTTCTGGAACTTCTCAGGTGCTTTTAAAAGGATGACTGCAAAATTGCAGTTTAACTGCGTTCTGTGTGCAAAGCGCGTTCCTTGATCCGGCTGCGTCTCCCCCTTTGGCTCGATGGGGGCCCAGGGGTGGTGACCCCCATCAGGAGCTGCTCTTTGGCTCCGCTGCCCCCGCTCACTGGATGGGGCTCCACCGGGGTCCCCCTTGGGCCAAGCCACACTCTCTTACTGTTTCATGCATGCTTTATATCCTCACATGCTTTTCTTGATGAAGAAGACGTTGCCTGCGTCGCTCAGAGAACTCTTCCTGGCAGCTGCTGTGCGCTGAGCTTTTGCCAGCCATGCGTGTCCAGGGCCTCCAGCTGCACTGAGAAGCTGCCAGGCAGGAAATGGCTTCTTTGGTTGAGTGCCAGCTACATATCGGTCCTCTGAAATATTAATTGGGTGTGAATCTCCCCCTGTTTTTTTACTGGGTGCAAGTTAGTGGGAAGGCTGCCTGGCATTTCCTCACTGACCCCATGCAGGCAACCAAGCTTTGAAATCAATGTGTGGTGCCCCTTCCTTCCTTCTCTCCCTCTCCTTCCTTCCTCCCTTCCTTCTTCCCTCCCTCCC